CTGCCTGCAGAATTAATATGGATAATTTGATTACTGGAGGAAGCCTCCCCCTCATTCTCTTTTTCTTGCTCCTCTCTCTCTCTCTCTCTCTCTCTCTCTCCTCTCTCATTTCTCTCACATACATACGTACATGCAAATACAGAGAGACTAAATAAAAATAAAAACTGAGATAATTTTAGATTCCCTACTGAAAAAAATTTAATTCTCAAGTTTGAAAAAACTGAGTGAAATATAACACAATGAAATTGTAGCTAAATTATATGATATTTATGTGAACTCTTTAACAGCACCTATATAAATGGATAAACTTAAAATTAGAACAAGTTTTTCATTGCTAAGAAATACAGCTAGAATGCTAATCACTAAGGTTTCTTTTTAATAATTCCAACATATGGTCCAAAATCTAGATTTCTAAAACTGCCAGTCCATTTTGTAATTACACTAAATAGCACATACTGTGACACTTTCTTTCTCTCTTACGCCCCCACATACAATTCACTGAATAAGAATATGGTTGTAAACATGAAAAATTTGGGATTATGCTTATCCTTTGTTATTCTAGATGTAATTAAATAAGCAAGTGCAGCTCAGTGGGTTTAGCAAGATTTCTTTGGCAAATCTCAGTTTTAGGACATTCTTAAATTCAAAAGAGATGAAATAATGATTAAATTATCTTGCTATTGTTCTTAAACTGGTTTTTCTTTTGCTTTGTTCCAGATACTGCTACTAGAATTACAAAAATGTTTATGTACTAAGGAAAATAAAACTGATCCTCTCTCTCTCTCTCTCTCTTTCTCTCTCTCTCTCTCTATGTATATACTGATATTATAATGCAAACTGCACAAATATATATACAATGAATTTATTCTTCCTTTCCATTTTTATTCTAATCACTAATTTGACTATATTTGTACATACTTTTTCTCTCAATTTCCTGAATGTATACTTTTTGAATACAAAAATCTTTATTGGCTAATTGTGTGATTGGATACACAAGGATTTTATATCTCTGATGCATAAACTCTCAGTGTACAAACAAACAACAAAGTAGTATAATCATAAGATATCAATAGTAGAAGGAAATGGGAAAGATGAGAAGAAGAATAGTAATACAGCCCTACTAAATAGGTAAATATCCTTGGGTATAATGCAGTGCTGTGGGAATTAGATGTTCAGCAGAGTGATGGCATGAGGGAAAAACTATGTCTGTGTCTAGTTGTTTTGGCATGCAATGCCCTATAGCAGTGTCTTGGGAGGAAAAGCTGGAACAGTTTATGTCCAGGATGTGAGGGGTCTGTAGATATTTTGTCAGTTCTCTTTTTGGCTCTTGCAGTATACAGGTTTTGTATATCTGGAAATGGGCCAGTTGCGATTGTTTTTTCTGCAGTCTTAACTATCTGTTAAGTCTGTACCTGTCCTGTTTGGTTATTGTACCAAACTAGACAGTTATAGAAGTACAACTAACAGACTCAATAATGCCTCTGTAGAATTTTATTAGCAGCTCCTTGAGCAATAAAAAGGTTTTTGAGTTGAGGTAGGAAGTATATGCTTTGTTGTGCCTTTTTAATGAGGGTTCTAATGTTAGGTGTCCATTTTAAGCCCTGGGAGATTATAGAACTCCAAAACCTGAAGAGCTCTATTCTTCAACCTGTCTAACATTGTAAGAGCTGGTAGGCCGTTCCTAAAATCCACTATCATCTGTACAATTTTAAGTGTGTTCAGTCCAGATTGTTCCAGCTGCACCCTAAGGTCAGTTGTTCAACCCCCTATTTGCATGCAGATTTATTCCCATCCCGAATAAGCCCAATGACTGATGTATCATCTGCAAACTGGCTGTAAAGTACTGTGAAGGGGTATATAAGGTGGCGCAGTGGTTAAATGCAGCACTGCAGGCTACTGCTAGATCAGCAGTTCAGCGGTTCAAATCTCA